TATCATGATGATGTCATTGAAAGATGTGGGCAACCCCCATGTTTGTGATGAATAGATCCTTGTGTTAACTTTTTTTTATTAACCAGAGTCCATAATTAATCAGAAAAATTTTTAAGGAAGAACATTCACGTACGTTACTTGACGAAGAATTAATAGGAAAATTTAATTGTTATTTACTTTTTTTTTTTTACAATTGTATTATTTAATCATTTTTATTAATTCAAAATTGTTCTTTTGATTAAAAATTTTTGGAATCGATTTGTTGCGATAATAATGAAATAAATTTCTTTCAAATATAAATTATGTCAAAATAATTCGAGTAATAAATAAATAAATAATAAATAAACAAAAATTGACTAAATAATGGCTTAAAACTAGTTCTCAACTTGAGAGTGAATAACTTTGAAAAATTTTCATCGGCAATTCTGGCAATGAAAAAATCTCATGAACTTATCATATACCGTCAGCTCATGTCATCTCGATCAAAGAATCCCAATGAAAAATGGAGAAGCTTCATAAGTCTTAAATATATTCGAGCTTCGCCTATTTCGCAAGTCACGGCAAAATCCTATTCCTAAAAAAAAAAAGACGTTACTACTTATAATAAAATAATTGAAGACTTTAAAAAAGCACTTATCGATGATATTAATTCTCTATACTTGAAGCTCGATTGACTCGATTGACTTTCCATTAGTCACAGGAATTCTTTGATTCGAGATGACAGGAATTGACGGAATATGACAAGTTCATAAGGTTTTTTTCGGTTGTTTGAATAGCTGATGAAAATTTCCATAGCAATTCTCTCTCTCAAGAAAGATGTTTGTTGTAAGTTGAAATACGCTCTATTTTAACTTCATAAAAACTAGGGACTAAATAAAAAAGTGTGAAATGTCTCAATCATTCAAACCGACACACCATTAATATAACGGACACCTCCATTGCGCTCTCCAAATTTATAAAAATTATATAAATCAAAAAATTCTTTTCGAATTTTTTCTTTTTTTGCACTCCAGCTTTTTATAAAAGTCCATTCTTCGTTTAATTGACAATGATCTTCACGTAGTGATTCTAGAACTTGTTTTAAATCTTTTTCTGAATGACAAAATTTTTGTAATAAATCTCTTTTTTCATTTTTGGAATCTTCAACCAAACCTTTCAGTTCTTTCAGTTGCAATTTGATATTTTCAATTGAACCATTCAATGTATCTAATTCTTTCATTCTAAAAGTGATGCAATTAGATAGATTAGCAAATTTCGTTTTTGTAGATCGTAAGGATTGAAATTCACAAGTTTTGTTTGATTCATCAAAATAATTAATCATTCTATTTCTTGTATTTCTTTTTTTATTAGATTTAAATTGAGGTTTTTCATTATCTATTTTATCGTCTAGGTTTTTCTGCGAATGGTAATTAAATGGTTCATTATTGGTAGTTGGTTCTTTTGTGGAGCTTTCTTCAATTTCTTTTATGGTTTTGTATTTTTTATCATTCTTCTTTTGATTCTTGAGCATGTGATGATAGAACAAAACTTCCATTTTCAAAGCGGAGTAATCACCATAATGCAAAATTATAATATGATTCTCATTTGGAGTTGGCAAGAGAGATTGAGATAAGTTATTATTAATTGATCGAAAAAAAGAGATTCTATAGTTTCTTATTTTATTATATTTAGGATTTTTGTCCAATTTGGCATTTATTATGTTTGTAGAAATAGCCATTTTCTTCTTTCTAAAGATCTCATTGCCAATAATTACATTTCTTTGATGAATATAAAATAATCCAAGATTGATTGCTGTCGGTTTCATTTCTTTCAGGCAAGTGTTGTCATGAGCATTTTTATTCGTGAATTCCTTATTAAAATACTCAAGGTAATTGAATAATTCGTCCAGATTTTTTTGTTGTAAATAATTTATCTCCAAATTATTATATAGTAATTGATTATTTAGCTCGGTGATATCGTTCTGTAAATAATTTTTAAATGAATCAACTAAAACTTTTTTTTTGTGTGTGAAGTAAATTTTTTGTATTCTGTATTCCATAAGACTAAATTTGAGTAGAAAAAAATACAATAGTAGATCTTCTTTCATTGTGAATATTTGTTCTTTAAAGAAGATAAAAATGTATAAAATAGTAAAAATAGTATTTATCATAGGAAATTGCTGAACATAAAATAATAACAATGATATAATTAAGATAATTGTCAAATTAACTAAAAATGCCAAATTTTTAAATAAAAAAAAGATCATATTATTGAAGCAAGTATATAAATATAATTTGGCCCCAATTAACAAGGAAGCAATGATCTCAGTGAAAAAGGGTTGTAATGATTGTTCCAATGGACATTTAATTTGTCTACTTCTTACAGTATTATAATTATCT